CCAAAAAAAAAAAGATGCAGAAGAATCGTTCAATTTCACTGCTGTTACACGAGAAGCCCGCCTTAAATCTTCCATTGAATTTACCACGTCGCTATATCCCTTCCACCGACTGCAGTAATGTCTCTACAAGTGTCAGCCAGTTTGGATTCTACAAGTGTCAGTTTGGATTCTACAAGTGTCAGTCAGTTTGGATTCTACAAGTGTCAGTCAGTTTGGATTCTACAAGTGTCAGTCAGTTTGGATTCTACAAGTGTCAGTCAGTTTGGATTCTACAAGTGTCAGTATAGATGGTCCTACGCCTAGGCTGCGTCATTTCTGCGCCTATGTTATCTCGCTCGCTGTCAGTCAAGCGTGTAACGCTACACCACTCGGTTTCTTTTACGAGATTTCACGGCTCGACAATTCATAATAGAAAAATATAAATTCTTTAATTTTACTTTTTTTCATTTGAAATTTTTTTTCAGCAACCTGTAAATCTGGCGTGACAGTGAACGTGTTAATAAGTAAATGTTGTTCAAATTATGCTGTGTTTTATGTCATTTTCATCAGAAAAATCTCATCAATATTTTAAGAAAACTTTCGGGATAAAAAAACGTAAAATTAAAAAAGTTGATATTTAAATCGCTTGGTTGCCTGGACTCACGTTTCATGCTTATCTTTTATTCGCTGTCCTTGTCTACGTTCGGCAAACTACAAAGGCGGGCGCGAGGCTCGAAAACGTAGTCCCGGACTCTACGAGTGTCAAGTTTAGCTTTCTTACGGTCTGACAGTTGTGGAGAATATACTGTATCTCCTAAATGATATGCCATTTATCGAAAATCTCTCTCAAGTGCAGTTTAAACAGCGAAACATCCGTTCATCAATATTCACTTAAGTTCCACTTTGTCTTCTCGAGAAAATCGAGAAATATTGGGTTGTCCGGAACATTCGTGTCGATCTTTCAACAAATAGATAAACTCCATATTTTCAAGCAATTATTTCTTTATTCGAATCTAAAAAGAGATTGACTTTATCACTTATTTCGCGTTGCGTCGAACTTCTCATAAAAAAGAGTTATATTAAATTTCGTGAAATATCTTTTTCCATAAAGAAAAGCTATTTTTTAATATGTCCAAAGAGAAAATTCTGAAATGAAAGATACACGACTTAGGCCACTTTCATGATCACCGACACATTTCTTATCTAATAAAAAAAATAATTGTTTTAAAATACGTAGTTTATCCATTTACTTAAAAATCGACACGAATTTTACGGACAACCGAATACATACTATGGCACCTAAAAATCTCCTAGCACCAGATAAATTTCCAATTTATCTCTGTGTAACAAAAGACTCTTTTGAAACTACTTGGAGATGCTCTGTCTCTACGAGCACGTATGTGTACATACTAGGAAGTGGACGAGAAGAGAAAAGCGTGCGTGGAAGATCAATACCAACCGGGGATCGTGTGATTCGTTCGTGAGCATAGGGAAATAGAGTGTTCCGAGGAGAAAAGCTGTGAATAAATGAAAAGAGAGAGAGAGAGAGAGAGAGAAAAAGAAAAAAATGAGAAGGAAAGAGACGGACCAGTGGCTGATGTGACGAAGATCTCTTCGGTGGTGACCGGTTCTCCGGAGCCCTCCTCACAGTCCTCCTCGTCGTCGCAGGAAGGACGTTCCTGAATGTTCTCCTTGTGATGCTTCGGCCTGAGAGTTGTCGGTGACCTCGTCGGCGCGACGTAGACAGGCGTTATTATGTCGTCTGCAAACAGAGGGGTTGGTGATCATTGAAATTGCGTACGGTGGCGCGCGGCGTTCGCATAATTCCCGTATGATTGCGTGGTTTCCAGGCACAGTTTGCGTCATCGGTGTAACGAGAAACGAAAATATGGTTACCACGAGCCAAGGGGATGTGACGGGATGGCTTGGATGGCCGATAATAGGCGATAGAATGCGCGTTTGATTGGAGTATTTTGTTCACGACGTGTACGGCTTGTTTCACCTTTCAATTCAGCTTTCAATTTTCAAAGGATCGTCCTCGGCTGCACGTGATAACGTGTACCGATGTACTTCGTGTAGAATAACTCATCTTATTAAATTGGTGCAAATTTGAAAAATCGAATCTCATTTTATTTACCCTCCGTAGGTAAACATATTTTTTCACACTTCGTAGGTAAACTGGGTCGTTTATGTTTATCGTTCCAAGTTTTCAAAAAATCTGAAAAATTTTGGGATACTTATTAAAGTCAAATGTTTAAAACCTTCTTCAATAGAAATACAAAATTCGTTTCAAAGAAATACCGCGGTGAAATTTCGGTTGGGTCATTAACGACCCAGACTGCCTACCGAGGATTAAATTGCTGCAAATTTTATTGAATTGTTGGGGAATTGCTGCAATTATGCGTATTTGTCACAATTTGTGCTATTGTTAGAATTACCAGGCATTTGAAATCATTGCTAGATTTCGTATTTGAAGAATTAGGTAATTATTGAATTCTAGAAGATGATTTAATGGTAAACGGAGAAAAAGAATGCTAAGTTTATATTTCGTGCTGTATCATTTTGCGTAAATGATTTTGTAATTAATTTAACACCTTGAGAAACTGTTTTTGTGGTAACCTGAATGTTCCAAGATTGAGGAAAATTAGAAAACTTTGCAATTTTTATTTTTTGTTGTTTTCATTCATGCTTTGAGAGTTGGATACGCTGAAAATAAAATCCTGTGGATAGCGTGTGACGTGTAATAACTATTACTGGGCAATACTTCGTAAATTGCGTACTGTGGAAAGTTAGTACGGTATAAAGTTAGAAATGATGGATAAAACGTTTTTATAACATGTTCCAAACACATTCATCGTTCATACGGACATTTTACTGGACGCATACCTGCGTTCATAGCACTCAATGGGTTAAAAGCAAAGGATATGGAACGTTAACAAAACTATTTACATCTCCTTTAAACAACGCACGAAAGCTTTCATATTTGTGGAAATATTTGTCGACGTTCTGTTTAGCTCCAAATTTAAATAAAGTCAAGTTTCATAACTTCAGTCTTTAATAGCTTTAACCTTTAAGCCGTGTTCTATTAGGCATTAATTGCAAACAGATTCAATTACTCTTGAGAAAATAAATCGAGATGGGCTATTTTGTAAAATTAGATTATCACGTGCTATGTATTTTTGTTAAAAATACAAGTTTCGTATTAGGGAATATTTGATAAAAACTAATTGCTCAGATATGCCTTCATTTGGATTGGAAATTATTTTGACCAATTTCAACAAAATCTAATCTTAATAAAATATACTTGTAGTTACCACATATTTCTGCATTTCATATCCTTACCGTCGCACTTACACTTCCAAGCAATTTTACATTACAAATTTCTAACCCTTTGATAATTACACAAAGAATTACAAACTTTTTAACATCCATAATTCAAATATCCCGCGTAACTGGATAACCTAAAAAAGATTCGTCGCGTTGACGTACGAAAAGCACAGTGAAAAATGTAACATGCACAATTCACGACGAGATAACGAAGGAACTTGATACAATTTATGAAACATGTCGTTGTATGAAACATTAAAATTAATAAGTGCACGATTTCGATGAACGAACAACCTTCTTGCAGAAGCCATGGTTAATTTCACACTATTAAATTTTCTGTCTTAGTAAAAAATGTTACAAAAATACTGTTAAGTTACCGCGCCTTTATGTCTTGTACTCTTCTTGGCATCGATTTTTTTTTCATTGTGTAAAATGTCACACTTCTAAAATTACCCATTAGCTGCTGGATACCTCGTATAATTGCGTCAATTGTGTCAGCTTATTAAAGGGATTGTATTAATTCAGTTTTTAGTCAACCGGAGAATATTTTCGAATCGGCTGGCAGAGCGAGCGAGGAGGTCGACAAGAAAGAGAAAGGAGGGGTGCCAGTCGGGGTTCCCAAATATGCAAATGAGTCGAAGATACAACCTGGCAAGCATGAAGACGAAAAGGTGGCATGCTGTGCGATATGTAAACCCAATCGTGCATGGATACATATGTATATTATATAAGGTGTTTCCTATTCCGCCTTAGCTCGCGCCATTTTCATCTAAAGATGCTGTTCTCGATTATTTATTAGGGTAGGAGATAGCAAATTTTATTTCGTTAATATTTCGTTAAAGTATTCGAATGAAAGTGGTTTGCTGCGAAAGTCGCTGAATATATGTGAAGATCATCTCTGTTTTTTATATTTTTTTTATCACCAAACCGGGACAGGTACAAAAGAAAAGGACGGAAGGAAAATTTGTTGAAGAAGTATAGCTTTATTATAATTAAAAAATCGCATAATATGAAAAATAAGACAGTAATTCAAAGTAAAGCAACAAGTCATATTTTTCATTAGATAAAAACTTTCTTAAGAAATGTTCTATTATTCTTAATTTGTTCATAGAATTCCGTACACTTTAGAGCTCTTTAAAAATCAAGTCACAGTTTCTTTCATACTAAATACTTTCTATTGCAGAAACTTTTTTCTAACTTTTATGGTTCCGGAAATATTTAAGTTGGTAATTCTTATTGGTTCACCCTGTATAATAGACATCAGATTTACATATAAGCGGTGAAAAATGATGTTGTTTCTGGCTATGGAGAAACGTAAAATCATGTTTATTTGAAACAAATCCAGTAATGTAGTCGTTTACTTCTTTCTTAAATAACTGTAGATGCGAAGAATATATGTAAGTATTTATATGTACATAAATAAGTCAGTGTTCAACTAAAAATAAGTGTTATTTTCAAACATTTTCATTAAATCATAATTTATATGTATTGTGTATATGTATCACGAGTAAAATTTGAACAGTTTAAAGTTTCGTGTTAATTGCGAGTAAAAGAATGTAACTTTCATCATATTATTTGTCATTGAAGCAAAAGATGTTGCGTACCATTCAAATGATCATGCACACAAAGTATTCTGTGATTCTAATGAAAACAGAGCTCTATTACTTTATTTTTAATAGTCTGCTTGACCTTAAATTAATTGTGAATCATGTTTCATTGAGATTTTCGGATTATGCAAGAAACTTGAGACGTATCTCTTTACACGTAACAACGAAATGTTTAATTACTCAGCGGAATATGTTGTTCTTAATTATATAAAGAAGAGATCGTTTAATTTTAACTATGGATATTCTATTTACGTTTAATTGTTGCTCATAATGAACTGTTATATATTCTATATTTTAAATCATTTATTCGTGTTACTTATTTAAAAAAGAAATCACAAACCTAATCTAAAAATAATTATAGTTTCTATATAAAATATAAAGGAGTAGCATTAAATTAATAATAATAAAATAAATAATGGTATTTATAGAAGTTCTATTTATGATGCTGATATTAATTTTACTTCGATACGAATAAGATTCTTTTAAAAAAATATTACTAAGTAATAACACTTCATTTCACACAATAAACGTGATTTTTCCGTTGTATCGCATAAAAAATAATTCAAATATATTAGTTGAAAAAAAATGTGGTAAGTGCCGCCAAATGACGACAGTGCCTTACCAATTTATATGTGTTTCCATCCTTGTCTAGGGGAGTGCTAAACGTCTCTCCTTTCACACTACACATTTAGATGGCGTGTTTGACGCTCTTATATAGAAACGTACCGGTGATGCGACCACTAGCGAGAAAGCAATATTTCGCATATAACTCGAGAACGAATGATCGGATTGAAAAATGGTAAAGGAATATTTTACTTGAAATACTATTACCTAACGAATGATATATCTTAAAAGTAAATTCATTTCAGATGGAAATTTAATTATAATTATATGTTACAGATATGCCAATACATCTATCTATATATATATGTTCAACTGTAATTTTCATTGTAATAGTAATTAGAACTACCTATAACAATAATACATTAAATTACAGTGATAATTTCTAAATTATAACAGAAATAATTTAAAAACTCTATCTTCAAGCGATAATACATTAAATTCAAGAACTTTTGAATTGGTTTTAATAAATATCACTTATCAGCGTTGTTTAAAGTATAAATTTTAAGCCATACAAACACGTGTAATTAAAACTTTTTGTGTAATTAAATCACGTTTATTTTTTCATTTGATGCCAAAAATATTTGATTGGAGACTGAAAAGAACCAAACCCCACGACTTATCAAAAGACCCATAAAAACACAAAAACACATGCAAAAAGGGCATACTGCGAGTGTCTTTCTCACATATGTCACACTTTCAATTAACAGAATCATCCATAGACCCTGTCGAAAAAAAAAAAAATAAATAAAAATCAAGTTGCCAAGGGAATTGTTTAATAACAAAAAAATGTTTCCAATGCATATTGAACAGAATTGAAACAAACTTGGAATCAAATTAATATCAATACGTTCTTGTACAATACGCATGCGATTGTTTACACGTATTTCGTTAAAAAAGTTTTCATCGACTATCGATTTGATGCAATTTGGCCTCCCCCCGAACAAATTAGGTTGCAGACGTACAGAGAATAATGTTTATCGAATAATTTGTCTTTCTTTTTACACAAAATATCGTGTAACCAATGTGAAATAATTGTCAGAAAGTATATACATATAACGTTTCACGTATATGAAATATCGATACGTGCGAGATACAGGAGTTAGGTACGTACAAGAAATTCCTCTGCGAGGAAACGTGCAGAAGGAATTACTTACGCCCTTTGGAAATGTTACTTACACTTACCGGAACCAGGTTCATAGATCGGCGTGCATTCTTCGTCCTCGTCGTCTGCGGCGCAACCGCTTCCTGCACCAGAAAATATCAGGTCGTCCATGACGCCCGGGAAACCGGAAGCTGGCGTCTGCACCGAAAAAATATATGGAATTTAATTGTGTTGCTCGAAATATAGGCCAACTTTCGTTATTTTCAACGTCTTTGAATAAAAACGCGAAAATTGAAAATAATGCTGTGCAAACAAGTTCATATTGTCGTTATTGTATACTTCGTGTTATAACCAGTTAGTGTAATTGCTTCAACGCTGGAAGAGTATTGCAAATTTGCAATTCTTTCGATTCGGTGTTAATTCAGATATAGCGTTGATTTTTCGTTGCAAAAGATTCCACTTATATTTGAAATATTAATATTCAACGAATCCTTGCTCGCATGGTAAATCCTTGTAGCTCGTTATCTACATAATATTCATACTTAAGGCATTACTTTTTTCTTACAAATAACATTTTTATGATCGCAATTCAGAACAGAGTTTTATGCTATAATTTATAAACTAAGTACACCGGTCGTTAACTAAAGTTATAAAATCCTGGGTACCACTTGATAGAATTTCCTGAATTTATGTGAAAACTAATTACAACGAGCGGGGAAAAATTGGAAGTAATGAATGAAAAATCTGAAACGAAGAGGATTCACCTGTCCTACTTTACGAAACGAAATTAATTAACCTCCCGTATAGTAATATTCGATAATTTAAACAGTTACAGTATTAATTATTTTTGATCGTTTATTTGAATGTTTACTAGTTGGAAATTTCACCTGTTGCATTCTTTGCAAAGGAGCTGCACGATCCAGAAGACTTCCGGGAGGTAAAAGCTGAACATCTCCCCTAATGGTGACTCGTCCGTCTTTTGTGGCAGCCAATTCGAGAATTCGTGCACCGTTCACAACCAGGCCGGCGATTATTCCCAAAAAGGGTCTCTCTACCCTTCCTTTGTTGCGATTCCATCGACCACCAACTTGAATGGTCGATTGACTATTGAACACCGTCAATTGACGACCTGTAAATAGCAATAAATGTTAGAGCGAGGTCCGTTTAATCGGACATTTTATTAGGTCTGTTGTAAAAGGTTCTGTCGTTTATTCCAGCTATGTTTATCGCGGCCTTTAACATTGTTTAAAATATTTCCCTTGAATTCCCAATTGGTCTCAATTTTATTACACCGTATACACTCTTGAAAACTATTTTAGTATTAATTTAAGACATTAATAAATTACCAGAGAGATGGAGTATATCGCAAATTATATTGCAATTATATCGCAAATTAAAAAAGAAAATAGTAATAATAATATCACTTAAATAAAGTGCAGAAAAAGCGATAAGACTTTCCGACAGATCTAACGATTCCCTAATAATTCTTACAAATAACGATTAACGCGAAATATTTAGAGCGTTACTTCAGGATGTTACAAATAATATTCAAAATGTTATATTGTATAGGGTAATTATTTTCTCTAGTTATGCTGGTACGAGAAAATTTTCATAGATAATCTAAATGGTTTCAAAGAGTGAACGAAGAAAAATTTATACGTACTTGCATTAAACTATTAGGTCATCCAGTAATTTCGTGTCGAATTCTATAATTTAGATCGATATTTGAAACAAACCCTTAAATTTGACAAAAAAAAAAAAACCAAAGCACCTTCTCGTTTCACAATTTATTCCTATTCTTTTTTGGTAAGATTTTCACTAAAACATTTTTCGCTTTGGGCAAAAATTTATGCGATGACCTGATACTATCAAAAATCATAACATCTTGCAAACAAACATTTCTTCTCCAATACGCAAAATCCCTTTAAGCAGCACAATTATCCAAGAACAAGTTTCCAAATCGTTATCAAGAAGATCTCGCAAGTCATAAAAGAAAAATGACACGTAAGTGAAGTATTTCTTCTTCTTCACACGGGTTCGAAAGAATCGAAGGGATAATTTATTTCGTTTCACCGGCTGACAAATGTTTTTGTTTGACCACTGAGCAGGCGAACAGAAGCCACTAGAGATCTGGCATGGGTCACCAGTGGCCAGTCCACTTGTCAGCCGACGTGTACCTTAGAAGAAGATAGAAACGAATGTGTGTATACCCTTCCCCACTCCTTCCTGTGGATTTGCTTCGAGACCCTTTCCCTTTGTAGGGTCTAAATTTGGTTGGTTTTGAGAGTAGGTTAACATGACGCGCGTGGAACTCGTTAGGGTTCGATCTGCCCTTTGTATGTATGACACACACACTCGTGTCGGTTAAAAAAGTCTCCGTACACCTCATTCGGATCTATTTAGCGCTGGATAATTTCAACAGAGAAGGTAGTGAATAAATAATGCTTATGTTATTTTATTTAGGAACGTAATATTTGCTATTAGTACGATGAAAAATGATTTACGTTCATTTATTGACAACTGAACGGAGGAAAAGGAATAATATAACAGAAACGAGATGTAAAAATTTTCGTATAGTAGAAAAGACGTTACAATATTTGTCCTATAATGGAAAGTATCTGTTTACGTTTATATTTATTTGGTGAATTATTAATAAACGAATGTGAATTATTTTTCTTTGTAGCAATAGTAAATGTTATGTTTTTAAATAACAGAAGGTAAATATTATTTGTTTGCTAGTTTCTCTGTTAAAATTGTACAACGTGAAATAAATTCTAACGAGCTGCAGGAAGAGATTTTTAGCTGTGAGTGCAAGCTGCTTGGGTTACCAACGAGCATAATAATGTTTTTGGTAAAACGAGCGAGCATGAATGAAATTTTCTAGGAAAATTTTACAGATTTAAATAATTAGTAGATTTTGTACAAAGTTTTGTATATCCCCGATACAGTAACGAAATTAGTAAGCTGACATTAAAGGCTAAAGATTTGATGTTTGAAGTTCCATTTTCGAGATAATTTCGAAAATTCGTTGCATACATATGTGATTTACTCATTTATTTATCTAACGGGTTGAATCGTAATTTAGTACAAAAGAATAAAGATACTCGTCGGATATGCAAAGTACAATAACTAAAAATAAAAGGAAAATACGATGATATAATGTTAAAGAAGAATAGGGAGAAGTTGATACTTAAGAGATTGGTGAAAATGGGAAGAAACATTGACACAGTTAGATATTTCATTAGTATTATTGGTAATACGATTATTATTTGAAAAGTGTTGCGTGGCAACCGTAGAACGTGTGGAAGACTCGGGAGTTAACACGTTCGCTGCCATCAACGCAGCATATTCGGTCCAGAATATATTACCCAGTGTGTTATTTGTTTTCTGCTAGCAGTGAACGTGTTAAAAACAATCGAGGACTATGACCGCCATCAACAAGGTCTGCACTGATAGGGATACCGTTGTAATGAACATTCAATTTAAAAAATTTCAATTTTTCTAATTTTCATCCTATCTTCATGAAAATAGTACCAATCAATTGGTAAGATTTTCTCGATGAAAATGAATCCAAACATGACATAGCAGTCAGAGTAATTCCACCAGTCATCAATTTAAATATTCCAGATTTTTAAGGTTAGTTTGAAAATGATCATTCTTAAGGTTACAATTAATGTCGTGTTTGTACTCATTTTCACCGGGAGATCCTCACCAATCCACTGGTACTATTTTCGTAAAGATAGGATGAAAATTAGAAAAATGACTACTGGTCGATTACTGATTGAGCGCCCGAAATTATCGCTTTGATCGTTTATCGACTGCCCGTCCGTTACCGACTGTTCATGCCAGAGTAAGAAGAGCACTTGCGATCGAAGAGTAACTGCGATATCCTCGCTCTATCATTATCGACTGATTAACAACGATGACGTCACAATCTTCCACTTCTAGACCGTAAGGCCCGTCCGAAGTCTTGACACATTCTTGAGTACATTCTTTTCGCTACATACAATTACGCAGTTCCTGCGTAAATTTTCCTACTTACCTACCAACAATTACAGTTCTCAACTTGATATTCTTGTTTAAATGAACAATATTTTGCAATGATAACACGTAAAGCAAAATATTGAGAAAGAGTCAAGGACCGCAAATGTATAGACTTCGATGAAAATTCAAAAGTGATTCAGTTCGAATAATAAGATAGTGCATATGTACATATATGTACATATATATTTATGTCGGATATGTGGAGTACCATGAGACACTGATCAGGCCAGCATGGTTATCCTGGAGGTCCCAAGCCCGTCAATTTTAGCAGAGGAGGTAAAATCGATTGGCAGAGATCGATAATACGGCTATTTTTTTATTAGGCGACTAGAAACCGAGGATGCGACCGGGATCGAACACAACGAACGAGTCACCCATGTGATCTGCCATGGGCGAGTTAAATACCACCTTGTAATAGGAAAGCAACAAACTGAACGAGCTTTCTCATCATCAGGCTTCTCGTTCCGCGACACGGTGCTATGGATAATAATTTTCGGTATGCCGAGAAAAAATAAGCCTGACTGACAAGCCTATCAGGCTCGTAGAATCTGCCAGGAGGACGATGTTCATGGTGTCATTTTAGGCACTGCAGCGATGGCTTCTCTGTTCGTCGTTCTATTTACTTCTCCGTCGTTGCTTGTGTCACGATTGACGAGCGTATTTTTAGGGAGTTATTCGAGAGTGTTTCTACAGAAAATGAGAACTTTTCTGATGGCAATGGATGCTTTACGTTCAAATGAAAATTTGTAATTAATTTCTCCTGGTTAATGTAACGAAGTGTTCTAATTAGAATTACGGCCATTTTGAGGGTTTAATATATGTTATTTGAGGAAATATTTTAATTCAAGAAAGAAGTTTAGTGTGCGGACTATGCTCAGGTGTAAACGTGAAATATTATTCATAGACGAGATGATATGTTACGATGAATATTTATTATTTTGAACGTGTTGTTTTCTTTTTATTGATACTGGTACGCGGTGGAGTTTAAATGATTTTAGTTCACTTTTGATTGTGAGTACCTACTGTTAAAATTAGCAATGTTGGATATTATCGTAATAAGTCTTCCCAATTATATTTATCATTGTAAATAATAAACCTAAACAACACCTAATAATAAAACCTAAATAACAAGAAGAAGACTCGTTTCTAAAAAATACCAACCTTCTCTAACAATTGTAAATTCCATTCTATAGTCTGAGTCGCTATTAACCCAATTTTAGTGGTTGATGAGACTTAAAATAAATAAATTAAAAAAAGAAATAACGGTGGTAACTTCTTATTACAATCGTTTCTTAATTAAAATTTAGTTAGAAGAAAGATTGTTAAATAAAAGTTAAGTATCTATGTATATCAGTAAATTAAAGAGCTTTCGAAGAGGAAACGAAGATATTCTCGTCTATCATAGTGAACACGTGCCAAGAGATTAACTGTTTCAGAGATACTTTAAATTTTTCGTTTGTAAACGACCTAATTCTTTGTTCGACTGGACATTTTGTACGTATATATAATACAAAGCACTTTTTATAACAAATATATTAGGTCATCCCATAAGTTCGTGCCGAAAGTGAAAGATATATTAACGAAAATCCAAGGAAATTCTATAGCGACGACATAAAAAAATCTTACCAAAAAAAAGTGGGAAAAGTTGTGGAACGAGAAGGCGCTCACGTTCTTTTTTATTCAATTTAAAGGTTTGTTGCAAACATTGATCTAAATTCGACACGAACTTATGGGATGACTTAGGATTGGAAAAAGTGTGGACAAATACAGTAGTGCACGCATAAGCGTTCGCATTTTTGCACACTTAAGCGTTCGTCGCTATACCCGCCAATTCTTGGAAACGGGACTTCGGAGTGGAGTTCGAGCGTGCCGAGTGAAACGAAGTAATTCGATATCGACTCCTGTATGTGAACAACTGACACTTGATATATCGGTATCCCACTCAGACACATCTCCTCTCTTTACTTTAGTTAAATTCGCAGAAGTCACCTCCTCACTACTGTAGCTATGTTTGAGAAATAAAACATACAGAAGAGAGAATTTCAAGTAAAATCATAGTTCACAAGTAAAAATAACAGTTCGATG